CTCCTAAGAAAATTCTCAACAAGTTCACAAATGAAGTTGATTGAGAGGAAAAAGAAGCACTCCCTAGAGAAGGTTACATTTTTAGCCTTAAAATTGAGCAACCAAGTAACCTCCCAATGACAGACAGTAGCTGTTGACAACTTGAGGCAGTAACACCTCTACCCTGGCCAGAACTGTAGGACCTGAGGACCACTGGAAGGGTGAGTGCAAACTGAAGGAAGGGATTATAAAATAAGAAGTGTGTGTATAACATTTTAACACAAATAATACTTTTACTTCTGTAAAAAATTAGATCTGGACTAATAACTATGAGACCCTTCAGATTTCAGTTATACTAAAATTCTTGGCTCTTCTCATATACAGAGTGTGTGTGTGTGTGTGTGTGTGTGTGTATCCTTTGCCCACAAGCTCAACACAGCATTCATGTAGGCAGTGTCAAGCATAAACTCAAATCACTGTGCATACTTGCAGAGAAGGATGAAGCTCAGTTTTGAACTTTGAGCTCATGTTTTGACTCCCCAAAACATGGAAGATATGGAAACAGCCCGGATGTGTTTATCAGGATTTTAAGCTTCAGTAGCAAGCAAGACTGAAGCATGTGGGCTCCTGCTCATTTATGACTGACAAAACAATTCTGCAACAGGTAACACTCCTGCTGTCCCAAGAAGAAGCACTGACAATTTCACAGCAGCCCACAAAAGCATATAGAATAATGCTATGATAAAATAAGCCTCTGATAAAATATAACTGAAGGTTAATTTCTCAGCAATCCAAGTACCCTGACTTCCTTCATCAACTCATAGCAAAATCTTCTGCAGTCACAGTCAAATCTTAAAAGCAGTAAGGGCGCATGGCACACAAAGATGTGCAGTGCCTGAGACCATCGCCTCCCACGTCAATGCCCTAATGAGCAGGTACAGAGCATGTGAAGCAAACAAAATGTTCATTACTCTTCCTAACTGTCATAGGTCTGAATACTGGGAGAAAAATAATGAAAGAAAGGAAAGCAGAGCAGGAATTCCTGCCATAAAAGCAGTGCCAGCACAGTAACACAGGTGACATCAAGGCATGGGCACAGCCCTGTGCAGTTCAACACCTGTTACCTGACAGAGCAGAGAAGCCCCAGAACCACTGGCACACATACAACACCAACAGGAACAAGCTGTGTCATGACAGAGGGAGGTACCAGCAAAGCAAACAATGACAGAAGACAGGAATCAGAAAACAGAGTTATACTGCTTGACTACAAATCCTGTGTTACGTAGTGCTTGTCATAATTAAATCACACCTTTTCCATTCTATGAGTTGCTACTCTGTTCCTTGTAGCTTGTGTAGCCCATATGTTCACAACAGATGGATTAATGCTGTAGCTCAGTGACATTTTTCTAATTATAACTGGATTTATGAAATTCTTAAATAATTTTGAAGGAAATACTCCCTGCTGAGGGAAGGTGAGTCACTGTAGCATCACTGTCAGCAGAAAACACCAAAACCACGGAAGTGAAATTGGTGTGCCCTTATTAAAAAGAAAATATCAGAATTTTATTTAAAAGATAACATCACAAAAAGCTGAAGGAGACAAATAGGCAAAGTGTTGAGAAAGTGAGCACAAAACAACAAAAAAGTTAAGTGAAAGTTAGATGCAGAGACAATCCACACAGGCTTGGTAGAACCTGGGGGTCTGGAGGACTCTCAACCCTGATGAATGAGTGTTATCTGCCAGACACTTCAAACAAATTATTTCTATTTCTTAATTTTCATTATGTAATTTAGTCTCAGTGAGTTTAAATAAAATAGGAGAATTTAGGGTTAAAGTAACACTGCGTGAAACAACTTCAGATACCTCATAACTTAAAGACAGTGTTTAAACTTTGAATTTACATCAAACTTTAAGTTTGCTCTAATGATTGCAGGTTTTTCCTGGCTCTTTACTGATTCTCATTTGAAGTGTGTTGTAAATAATTTTCCAATACAAATTGTTGAATGAAGAGTTAGTTTTTGCAACATTAGTTTATAGTCATAAATTCCAGTGGTGTGGCAGCCTGAATGCTAAGCTGGCTTCTCCAATGAAAACAGCACTGACATCTGTTATAAGGGTGATTTACCAAATGACTGCTTTATGCTTTATGGATTTCACAAACAAAGAAGCTCTGCTAATAATCATATCAGTGATTTAAAATTTACACAGAGCTGATTTACAAATGCATTGTATCTCTATACTGAAAATTCAGTAAAGGCTGCTGTATATTTAAAGCTGTACAATCATCTGCATTTAACTGGGAAGCTGCCTCCCATTAATTTGCAACTTCGAGTGGCATCAACATACTTCAAACCTAGTATGTACAGACACATGCCATAGCCAAGACAGTACATCTCAGACTGAAATAACAGCAAGATTGTATGTTAATACGGCAGTGCTTTTCATGGTCTATCAGACAACATCCTATTGTTCTCTGTGAAAAAAAACCAACATTTTTATTTTCCAGTTTTTACTTTGTGTTTCCTGTGCAAATTAAGTCAAGCATAGTTCATGTGATTTTTACAGCTCCCAACATTATGCAGATTGCATAGCAAATAGCAATATTGCAGCAGTCTTGACCTTTCTGGCTCTTGCAGGCATAAGGGGATAGAGATCCCCATTTCTGCAAGGTGGCACTAAACGACTGAATAACTCTTCCAATCCTTGTGCCACACTGTGAGATAGTGCTGTTACCTTCTCTCAGGAGAGAAAAATGAGGTACACCACCCAGACCTGCCAAAATTTTCCAGGAAAAGAAAGAGTCCAACTCTCCTGCCCATCTTTCTTCCCTCTCCTACAGACTATCTTCTAAAAGACAAAAGGTAGCAACAGAAAATAGGCACATGCAATGTGATCTCAGTACAAAGGATTGACACTCGCATCTCCCTCTCATTTTATGTCTCATTCTCCTTAGTAGCATTTCCTTGGCCGTGTCACTTTAGACCTACTGTATACATTGTTATTGTCTGTCACAAGGTGGTGCAAGTATTACAAAGCAGCTAGATATTCACTAAGCTCTACCAATGGTCAACTGGTCACAGAGGTCTCTGATGGTTTCGTCCCCAAAGGTGGCCTTTCCTCCCTCCTTTTGTTTTCTTCTTTCAGACTCCAGCCCCACTCTCTCCTCTGTCCAACATGGAAGGGAGAAAGCCCGTGCAGCCCCTCTCCCGCAGGCTCCTGAGGGCACAGCCAGCAGCACCCAGGATGGTTCCCCAGTGGGATGACTGCCTGACGAGGCCAGGACCCCATCCCCAGCCACTCTTCCGTACCGCACACTGCTCCAGAGGAACGGCAGCTGCAGGGTAAAGTGGCTGCTTCACCTCATCACAGGCCTTTATATGCCAATAAGTGACTTCTAAACTTGTTCTCACACCTGCAAGATGCTGTAGCAGAATGCTATCAGATTAACTGTCTTCATTTTTCCTGTCACTCCTGCCAAGTGATCCCAGTAGTTTCCAAACTTTGCACACTCAATCAGTATAAAATGTTTGACTCCCAATATGTGTATGCTTATTTATAAACTATGTATATGTATTACTCAACTAATACAATATGCTTATTTTAAAACATACACAAAAACACAAACTATAAAGGAAAGCAAAGATAAAACAAACCAAAAAGGATTTCCTTCTTACACTCCAGTGGACTGTCCTACCCACATTCCACTTTGGAAACATGCAAAGGTTTCCAAAGGGCAAACATTTCATCAGACAAGCTGCACAGTTGGGACAAAAGGCCTTTCCCCATATTCCTACATTATTTACCTAATATGCTTAGGCCTGTTCAATCTCCCTGCTCATACATGAACTAAAGGGACTAGAGCTTTAAATCAACAAACCAGACCTTGCTTTATAAACTTCTGTTGCTGGATTTGGGTACAAACTCAAAAAACTAACAATTTTCCCTAAAATGATCCTGAAACAAAGATCATGAGCTCACTCACAATGAAGAGAGAGGCAATTCACAAATAAAGCTATTATGAGGTCTCTTTCTCACAACTCTCAGTGACTTGAATAACTGCAAAATTAGCCAGCCCAGGAGAGCGCATGCTTTCTACGACTACTTTATTACTATCTCTGTTGTTGTAACAGTCAGCAAGAAGCAAATGCCTCAGATACAGCTCTAGGCAGACTCCTTCAATGCTCCTTGCAAGAGGAAACAAAGTATATCCAGTCTCCATAGACCCCTTTGTTATTAAGGGCTGTTTTTCAGAGGACTCTCTGAACCAGTGTCCTGAACAAGCTAAAACTGATCTGGGAAAGGGGAGAAATGGTAAGACAAACGCTGCTTGCTTTTTGATATCCTCAATAAGCTGATAGGCACAACTCTGCAAGAATGTGTCACAAAACAGAGACTGTCATTTCAGTGAATGCTTTTCCCACATAGGAAAAACTGACAAACTGAAGGAGACAGCAGTGATCCCTCATCAGCAGAGCAGCCAGGCTGATCTAAACCACATATAGGCAACCCAGCAGTGTGGGGCTGGACAGTAGCGCAGGCCACAGTCCATGTTCCCAGAGACTCTCACAGCCTAAAAGATCAACAGCACCATCCACTTAAACTGAAATGCTTTGCTTTTATAAAATACCAAAGAAAATGAGAGAGGAATTTAAAAAGCCATCTAGGTAAATGGAAGGTTTTTTTGCAGCAACTAGCTAACAGTTGCTAAGAAGGACTACTCTGGCTGCTGCTCAGCCCATCACTCCTTGTTTGACTGAGGTGCACCATCCAAGCAATCTAATATGTTTGAAAAGTAACTCTCATTTCACTGATCAAATACATATAAAATCAGCCACCTGCCATGTGAGAAAATGACTAATGCTTGCATCTTTTAAGCTCTTTGCTTCACCACAAGAAGCTTTTGAACACAGCACCATTTGAATTTGCTGAAAGAAACCTGCTTTTCAAAACAAGATTTCAAAGGGCTTAAGAAAACATACAAGGAGATGATAAAGATCAAAGGTAAATCTGAGTAACTTACTGCTGCTGCTGTGGCCTCTTCTCCACCTACATAGATAGAAGAAGCAATCTCCATCACAGACAAGTTTGTGGGAGCATCTGTAGTGGATGATGATCTGGGCCGACCCGACTGAATATCTTGAGTAGACCTTCTGTTGATCTGCGGGCTTCCTTTCGGGGCATCTCCCTTGCCCCACCTGCTGTGCAGGCTGGTCCCTCTCTTCATTTTGGGTGGCACTCTGATCTGCTGAAGCACCCGGTTCAGAGCTGTGGGGTGGGTGGAGACACCATCAATTTCAGCACAGACGCTTTGGCTTTCCAAATCCAGGTCAGGCTCCAGCTCAGCCTGAGCTTGCTGGACATCATGCGGAGAAACAGACGACCTCCTGCGCTGATGCTGGAACAGGTGCTTCAAGCCTTGACCAATGACATTAATGTTCTCCAAAGCATTATGCGTTATTTTGGATAATTTTTGCTCTGATTCATGTTGTTTTTTGGTCTCTTGATCTTGGGATTTGCCTCCAGGATCAGGGTCATCAGACAACTGTTCAGTGCCAGATGGCTCCATTGATGACACCCAAAAAGTTTATTTGACTATTCATACATAAATACGTCCCCTTTCTTTAAAAGGCTTGTGTTTATTTTGAAAATGCCAAGATTGCCAGCCAATTAGGTGTGTAATTGCTTCAAGAGTGACTATACATGCAGCTGTGCCACGGTGATCTCATGCTTATCTAATGTTAAAGAAAAGAGTAGTCATTATTATACATCCATGCAGCAAGTGTGGGTTAAAAATCCAATGCGCAAAACATGCCACTAACAAAATAAAATGTATCAGTCCTTGGAGCGTTCCTCCACAGTAGTTGCATCTAGGCTGTACTCAGAAGCCAAAGGTTGTGTGAGACAAGTCATTCATTGCCTGGGGGAGAAGTCCAGCACAGAGGGTGTAGGAAAGCAAGAAAGGTAAAAAAGCTGTTCAAAATAGGGAGAAGCAAGAAGAAACCAGTCTGGTTTTGTTTACTAAGAACAAGCACATAATAACATCTAACATGAGGTTAAACTTCTGAAGAGCATGTTAGTCACTCAGGCACAATTAATTTTGCTCTTTGACAAAGACCCTAACTTAATAGTATTTTAATACATGCAAAAAAACAGAACATTTCCAAATGAGTTACTCATTTTCACATAGTGAGAAAAGGCTTATTACAGCCAGCATTCACTGATGGCACTGGAAACTAGATGTGAAAATTTATCTTCAAGCAAGAACAGGCAAGTGAAATGCTTTCAACTGGCATATTCTTGTCCACAGCTCTCAAAGGAAACAAGAATGCCTTTTGAAAAGTAGATTAAGCAACAAAATTTGCAGGGTTCAGCACCAGGTATGTGCAGTTCAGCCTCTGGCACAGGAACTGCACAGCTGTTCTTAGAGAGCTCAACCCAAGTCATTCCCTGGGCTCAGACAGGACTGGATTATACAACAATGCAGCTCAGCACTTGTACAGCAACGACTATGGGAGAAGGTCAGCAAAAATATGGGGAAGGAAGGGAGGAAGGAAGGAAGGAAGGATACAGTAACTGAAAGGGTTTTACATCAGCACCATGAGATCACATGCTCAGAAGCTGAACACTGTTTTCTACAAGAGAAAACTTTGATTAGGCTTCTATAAATACAGAAACCAGCTCACAGAGGTCTACCTCAATCTTGGCAAAACACAGTTCGTGCTTTAGAAAATAATTATTTGAAACTCAGCATATTTGGGATTTGAGAGTGTTCATTTCTATGCTAGAGCAGCTGCAGAAACATAATGCACTGAGTTTACAATTGGAGTGCTCTTGATTTTGTGCATCTGAAGCCTAACACAATGAGTTAAACAGATATTCCAAAATGCTTTCCAAATTGCCATCCAAAAATATCAGGAGAGTTGCCTCTCTCTTTTTTTCAAGTGTCACTGCTATTAGCTGGAGACAAGAAGAATCTCAATACTTACAGAAAGCAGAACACTGGAACCATGCAGGATTTTATCTCAGTGCTTTGAAGATGCTATAAGCATTGAGTGTAAATATACTGGCCAGTTTAATCAGTAACTCATTAAATGCAAAGGAATAAACTACATCCAAGAAAAATATATTTACCCACATTCATGCAGCAATTGTGTGAGAGAAGAAAAAAGATGTGCCAACAACATACCTACATACTTAACACTTTCTTAAATGAATTAAAGTGCCTTTCTGTCTAGTAGTATGGTTTGAATTTTGGGCTTCCTCTTTGCTTAAACTTCCCCCCTCCTCCCCCTCAGGTAACAGGTTTTGCAGAAAGTTAGACTACAGGTCTCCACTCAATTTATGTTTTGGGACAAAAAAAAAATCGCAAAACTAGATGCTCCTTTTTAACCAACAGACCAAATGGTTCAGTGAACAAAACTCACCATGTAAAAAAGCAAGAGTCCCAAAACTATTTGGTGTATAAAACACAAACTTGACAGCTGACCCATAACTGCCTTTTTCATTTTAGCTAATTCACTCAATGTTTATTTTCAGTCAGGACTCACTGAAGAACTGCAGTTCTTATCTAAGATGATTGGTAAACTCTCCAATCAGGATCTCTCTGATCTCCTGCATGCTCTCTATCCACATTATCACTGGCAATGCTGCTGTTCTTAAAGAACACCACTTGAATCTAACTGGAATTCCATGCGTAATCTGCTAGAAAAAATTACCCTGCTTAAATTAACCCTATGGCAGTTTACAAAACAACCTGAAACAAACCAGCCCAAAGTGAGCTCACAAACAAGGCACAGCCACCGTGTGTATTCTGGGACAGATTTCTGGAATTATATGGCCTCTCAGAGGCTCCTAATGGGAGCTTTGTAATCATCTCCTATTTCTGTTTCCATAGGATGAGTCTGTTGTGAGCCTGAAATGAGCTTTGCAAATTACACATCTGGTATGAAGAACCTTACAACTATTTATTTATTTGTTCTAGTATCTACTTCTGGGGAAAAAAATACTCTAAGTGTGAAGAATTGTGAATCTTCAAAATTAATTAGCATACTTATTTGCATTAGGATTCAACTTTTGAGTTCACTCTTGTTTTCTCTACTTACAACCACCTTTATATTCTGTTAGTGGGAGGAAACAATACTTTACAGCATAAAGTTCAAAAACATACATTTCTTATTTGTACAAGAATATACTATATCAGAAACAAAATTCACAATTCCATATACAGCCAACTGAGCAGATGTTATACCATTATTACATCCCAGAACATTCTAATACAGTCCTTCATTTCTGCAATTATTTCCCAGGAGCCCTGGGAAACAAAACAGTTCAAAAGGAAAAGCTGGCAAAACCAAGATTAGATAACAATGAAAGGGTAAACTTGTACTTACCTCCATCATTTGCCCTTTAGCATGGTTGACCCACAGCAGTCCCTCCACTGAACAAAACTGCAAAAGAAATTTAGTATGAGATGCAATACTGAAAATGGGAGAAAATATATACATAAACAACAAAGAGCAAGCACGATTCCAACTTTTCAATTTTTTTTAGTAAATTTTTTTCACTGAAATGCAAGTGCCCCTGGAAGCTGTCCTATTTTAAACTCTTTCAAATAACTGAAGAGATACAAATATGACTGAAGTTAAAACTGAATCATATAGAGTTAATCAAGAAGTTCTTGTGAAGGAGCATTTTCTGTTGGGGTTTATGGCCACCACCACAGGCTGAAAGCAGAAGAAGACGCCAGGGTTCTAACCTGCACCATATACAGATGTTATTTTCCTCTCCTATTTAGTCATTCTCAATGCTCCCAGCACAGGTCAAACAGCTGGCTCTGGTTTACCTGGTGCTCACCTCACAGGAGGTAAAAGCTGTGGGCACTTGGACACACTTGCACCCACCCCAGCTCAGTGAACAGGCAGCTGCTGTCCCGCCACAGCTCCTGACTGCACATTGCTGCAAACAATCCAAAGGCCAGATGCTTGCTAGGAGATGACAAGAAGACAGCTGAGACCAGACATGGTGACCACACTTCTCTAGCCAGTCTCAAGGACTATTCTGAAGCACAGCTAGATCACCCAGATTTTCCAAAGATGATCATTAACTCAACCAGTTCTTGAAAACAGGGAGCACACTACTCTTCACATGAACACCACAATAACTCTGCACAACAGGGGCATTTATTCCACATCAGATTCCCACCTCCAAGACAGAATGAGAGGAAGAAAGGGTTACTCTGATCCACTGAAGAGGGATGCTAGATTATGAAAAAAGTGATGATAGCAAATATTAGGATCTTGGAAAAAATGAATGAACACATTTTTGAAGAAGATCTTCATATAGAAGAAATTCTACTTGTATACTAGCATGAGTGGAGAACTAATATAATGTGTGAAGTACTGGTCACATGAGGTGTCACTAAGAGAACTTCAGTCACTCTATTTGTCTACTTTTTTTTTAAGTTTTAATGTTACTTTTTTATTTATAGTAACTTTAAGAGCTTTTGTCAGCAAGGTCTTCAGAGATATGACCTACAGCACTACAGGACCTGCAGATCAGTAGCTGCTTTTGGCTCAAATTGTTTCACAGCTGCCATGGTTCAGAGTCTGTGTCCCAGAGTGCCCACGGGGGGCACTGAGAGGCATTAGCACCAAAACTACCTGTAGTGTCCCTCATGTGAATCACAGCCCTCACTGGCACACCACCAAAACTCCCATTTTCTGTCAAAAGCTCCATTTTCTTCTGAACTTTGAGAAACTATTGCACAGGGCTAATCAAAATTCCTTCCCTTCCAGGCACTTACAAAGCGTAGACATCATCTTGGCTTTAATGTTTAATGTTTTTTGACAGTTCTTCTCATTCTTTCCCTTTTATCAAATATGCTGTAACATGAACATTTCAAAAAATTTGACAAGTATCAGTTTGAAAATACTTCCGCCCCTCAGATTTTAGACTCTATTCAAGTGAAAGTTTACTTTAAATTAATCAGTTGAATGAACACCCTTCAAAATCACAGTTCTTTGTAAACAAAGTGCACTCTGAAGCTACCATTGAAAACCAGGTCAGAGACGACTTATCTGCAGCTGAAGTACTTGTTACAGTACTTGAACTACTGTTTACAGAAGCAAACAGTACAGGACTGCAGAAATGGGGAAGAAAAATTATTTTCAAAGAAAGGAAACAGGAAAAATTCCACCTTCTCATAGAGTATTTCAAATACCTTTTACTTACACCATATATGAACACCATGAACCCTTAATAATAGCACTGAAGTATAATTACCTATATAATCCTCAGATTCCTTTTATTTCATAAACAGGTCAATTTAACAATTCACTATAGACTTGTCATCACAGTTAGCAGGGACCTTAGGAAGGAGATGCTTCCCACTCATCCTTTTTGGCAAAAGAAAAGCATTTTTCATTTGTTTCAGAATAGAAGCAATTTTTACTAAGAAAAAGACCAGCTTAGTTTGAGAAATCCCAGATTATTTTCAGAAACTCATCCCAAAATGGAGTCTGTATCCAGGCAAACAGTTTAGAATGAAAGACTAAAGAAGCAACAGTCACACACTGGAAAACCACCTATTACAAGAATTGGGAACCCTAGCAAGTGATTTATATCCAAAGGAGGATTAAGATATTTTAAAAGCATCATTGCTCAGCAGAGCAAATAAGGAGAGAAAGCTTTGGGTGTATCAACAGCTAATCCTATCAGAAAAAAGAACTCATGAGAAATCAGAATGAGTGTGAAATTTAAGAGGGCTGTCATCTGGAAAACATTTAAGAGGAAGACACCAGTAACAGACTAAGTAATTTGACTCAAGAAAACGGGATAGTAACATGACTACCCAATATCTAGAGAAATGTATATATTTAGCTATTACAACAGAACAATTTTGAAAAAGTCTGAGCGGAAAATTTGGGCCAGAATGGAAGAAGATGACACACCAGAAATAATTAAATACAAATACCTTGGGTAAATGGCAGAATACAGGAAGAAAACAGAAAACAATATTTTTAATGGAAAATATAGCTACAGTTTTATATACATAATTCTTCATCATCCCCTTCCTCCAAAATTCACCCAAGAAAATATTTTTTTTAATTCTACTGAAGTCCGAAAGAAAAACCAGAAACATGATATATAGATATACAAAGACCCTCCCCAGGCCAAGACCAGAAAGGGAGTATGGCTGAGAGCACTGTTAAAGGAAAAGGCTGACAGTGGTGCTTTATGAATTACATGATTTTTTAAGATATTCAGGGACAAAAACGGCATTATGCCTGATCCCAGACAAAACATTAAATGTTTCTCCTAAAATCCTCACAAGCCTAAAATAGCTCTACACAGTCCAGGCACTCGTTTGTTAGAGTGAGCATGTTACAAGGAACAAGGAGTAAGAGCAGATCGCCTATTGTCCTCCTCTCTGAAGCAGGGGTGGGGAGGGAGAGAGAGTCACTTTTTCCCGTGCCTTCCCATACACATTAACAAACGGCAACTTCAAAGGTTTCATCAGCAGAAGATTTTATGCTTTGGCACACCAAAAAGAGTTCACCATTTCTATTACTGCATCCATTAATGGTTCACATGTGCAAGAGCAGCATGCTTAGACATACCAGAAGGTGATCTTTCAACATCAGCCTCATCTCAGATCCATATCCTGTTGAAACAGTTCCTTCCTATAACTTTATATTTAATACTGCTGACCAGCAGAACTAATGTACAGAGTTTATGTTCCTGAAAGCTCAAATATTAATTCTGTATATAAGAGAAAACTTCACTTATTGTCACTCACAGAGCATATACCAAACACTATCTTAGTGAGTGACAGATCCCTTTCTCGAAACATCTTCCCGAGTACACCTACATCAGAATCAAGTACCTTCAATACCACCTGTGGGCAACCTCTACATTACTGATGCCATCCCTATAAGGAAGTATTGCTTGATCATTGCTCTCAATGTAGAATAAAGACTGCTGGCTCTTCTGCATATTTAGATGTTCACATCTAAGGACCATAGACAACATCAATTATGAGGCAATTTTCCATGTTTATTTGAGTAATAATAACTCAAAATGGCCTAAAGTTGAGTGACTGGTTTTCAGAAATGGTTCTGCTGCTTTGCAGTACAACCAGTTGCCACTGACATCTTTCCTACCCCTCTCTGAACATTCAGTACTCAGTGGTTAAGCTGTTTGAATCAAAGCTATGAAGCAAAGATCAAGAGTTCTCCAAAATTACTAACCACGCAGAGGTACAAATACATAATAATTCTGTGTTTGTGATATGTTAAAATCTCATGTGAAAACCAAAGCAAAATGTTTCAGCTGCATTTCTATAGCTGGTGACCTGCCTCTTTATCAGAAGCCTTTCCCAACTGCCCTGCTGCATCAGAGCTGGTGTGCCATGGAGTCTGACTGTGGGGCAATGCTGCTGGTTCCACAGCTTAGCAGAAATTCATCCTTGATGAATTTCTTAGCTACATAAAGTATTTCTAGGTTTATATTACCATAACATGTGAGCAGTCCATGAATTCACCCTTCGAATGCTCCTAGTTTATGTTGAATTACTAATATTTTCCTAGTTTTCAGGGGAACCTCCCCCCACATAGAAAGATCAAGAAGATGCCTAAAGGTTATGTGACATTTTTACAGCAGAAAACCAAACTTAAAATTTGCTCTTGAAAGGTTAATGTTATACTTATGTGATTTCTGCTGTTGCTACCTTCAGATTCATTTATGAACAGTGTGGCTGGAACCTACTCAAACGATTTAAAAACATTCTTTCTGGAAAAGGCTACATATAGGCTATTTTCCATCACATTCTATAAAAACA